CAGCCAGTGCTCTTAACCTCTGAGCCATCTCTCCAGCCCCTTCCCTGTGTTCTTAATGTAAAACTAATTCTTGGGCAAAGAGTAAAAAGAAACAAACCCAAACAGAAAACCCTTTGCTGTTACTAGTTTGCAGTCTCCAAAGTTCAACTCTATACACCAAATCTGGTTCTTTTACATCTCCTTTTCCCCATTACCAGCCTTTAAATTCAACTTAATTTCCCCCTCAGGGAGGAATGAAATATAGAGAACGTCTGGTGTAAGCACAGATGCAGCAAAAGCAGGGAGCCCTGCAGACTCCGTCTGCCTGCACAGTACTGACCCAAGCACGCTCTGTTACTGAAGGAAGAGGTGTTGACTGTCCCTTGTTGCTGTGTGTGCTCCGCCACTTTTCCTCTCCTCTGAGGACCACCCAAGCACAATACCTTACTTAAGCATCTCTGTGGAACAACTTCCTATTTCTGCTTACTTGCCAAGGACATACGTAGTGGCAGTTTTATTTGGAGATTAAAAAAAAAAAAAAAAAAAGCAAATACAACCGCAAATATATGTACATGGTAGAAAAGCAACAATCTATAAAAAGTAAAAAATAACATTGCCCCCACCCCAGGAATCAACTCCTGAAGTCCTGAGATTTGCTTTCTTCCACAGTGTTCATCTCTGCCTTGCAAGACCCCCTGGGATCCTTTGTCTCTTAACTCTCTGTTTTAACTCAGTCCTGAAAGAAGGTGAACTCATCTCTCTATCTGGCTGGAGCTCCAGGCTTCTTTTTAAATCCTGCTTTGATAAGTCCCAGTTTTGGATGCCTCAGGTTTGATGTTGGACCTGAAGAACAGAAAGAGCCTTGGCTCATTACCCTGCCAGGGGGAGCAGCAGCTATCAGACTGGTTAATTGGCTGGTGTGAAAACGTCTCTCGAGCGGTTCTCGGGCTCCACTAAGTTCACAGACATTCACTAATCCATGAAGACACCCATGGAAGCCCAGACAAGCCCAGAAGTTAAGCAAGAAGAGGGTAGAGTTAACTCAGAAGTGCCAAGCCTCCACATCTATAGGCGCCTAATCTATAGCTCTTCATGACCTTTGGCTGGAGCTGTGCTTACAAGGGCCTTCTGGTTCCCTACATGAGCTAGGGCATGGGAGGGAAAAAGGCGTAGATACTGGGAGGGAAGAAGGAAAAGGAAGTCAGAACCAAGAGGAGGGTTTTTTCCTAATAGCGTTCCCATCTTAGCTCATTTACAGATGGAAGAACTTACATGAAACACAGACTTTGCCTGCTAGATAATGTACGCTGCCAGAGAGCGCTCCATGCTTCTGGAGGTAGACTAGTGTGTGGCGTCTTGGTAGGATAAGGCCTTATGCCCCGTGCAGGTTTCAGATGGGCGGACATCATTGCCTATTTAAAACCAACCCCAAAGCCCAAGGACTTCTCGATTGTAGCATCCGTTCTCCTTCTTTCTTATTTTAACAATATCACATTGTAAACAAGAGTGTTCTGTCTCGTATTCGAGTTTTGCCTTTTTCTCCCTAGAGAACTAGGAAAGTCTCCATGAACTCAAGAGGACTCCGTTTTCATAGCAGACATAGAGTTCTTGCCCTTACAGTCTTGCTGGCAAATTGTTAGGGAAAAAAAGAAAAGTCTATTTACAGTATCTGTTTTTCCGTACCAGTTCTAATGTGAAGTTCACATTTGTAAATTCCCATTGGCAACTGTGTCTCTTCCTTCCAACGTCTTCTCAGTGACTTAGCTCAGAAGTTTCAAGCCAATGCTTAAAATGTACTATTTACAAAGGAAGACTCCGAACTCCCAGCCATCTGGTCAGCAGGGGCCTTGTGAAATGCTGTCACGTGTTGGGATTCAGAACTTGAACAAGTTGATAAAGTCCTGGGGTGAAAGCGACGAGGAGCAGCTCTCGGGGTTGTTGGCTGTGCACGGATGGACGGTGCCCTGGAAAGAGCATTGCGGTTAGATCTGAGCTCTCACTGGCAGCTCCCCGGCTCTGGATGGCGTCGCCCAATCTCTTAGCAACTCCGTGCCAAGAATGCCAGGGCAGGGGCTGGAGAGGTGGCTCTGTGGCTAAGAGCATGTATTGCTCTTTCAGAGGATCCAAGTTCCGGTCTTGTATCTGGGTCAAGTGGCTCACAATTACCTGTGACTTCAGCGCTAAGGTATCTGACACCTTCTTCCAGCCTCTGCAGGCACCGCTCACACATGTACACAACCACACATGAACATGTACGCAGGTGTATGATAAAAAATACCAACAAACCTTAGACACAAAGGGATGTCACGGAATTCAGGGAGTGAGGAAAGGAGTCGGTGAGTGGAGTGGCTGCCGTGTGACTGTAAGGACCTGTATTTGGGTTCCTGGTACCCACCACCTAAAAGCTGGGCATGGAGGAATGTATCTTGGAACCCTAGGACACTGGGGGTTAGGAAGAGGAGATGGGTCCCTGGAGGTGTTCATTGGCTGGCTAGTCTAGCCAATCTGGTGAGCTTCAGGTTCAGTCCTTTTTTTTTTCCCCTAAGATTT